CACTAGTCATACCTAGAAATAAAAATTCATTTGAATCGGTCACATGCATAAAAGTTCTAGAAACAAATATCCATTCAAAATAATTTAAATATTCAAAGGTAGTAATTAATTAAAAACTTAATATCCAAAAAATAAAGCACCAACAAATAATCCAAACATAAAGGAAAATTGTTCAAAATTAAACCAAAAAACAAGGGGGGTTCGGCCACTTGGTGGAATTCGGCCCCATTGTCTAAATTTCAACTAAAAAATAGTTTATGTCTAAGATTCTAATCTTCCATAGGGAGTGGTATCTTCCTGAAAGTCAGAAACCTCCATCTTGGTACTCTCCGGTTCATCCACTTGCACAAAGTTTGATTCAAACTTCTTACGACGAGAATGATATTCAGATATAACATTTTTGGGAGCTCGGAAAACACGGGACCAATGGTCCTTTGAAGCTTTGCCCTTATTCTTGAAGTTTGGGGCATTGTGAACGAGGTTAAGGCGTTTCTGGGCTCGATTTCCTCCCTTAGATGAGCCTTGGCTTTGTTGACCTTGACGGGTGGCTTTTGGCCACCCCTACCACGCTTATTTTGGTGTTTTGGACGTTTGTTTGTGCTAGAATGTACTTTAAGCACAACAGTCACCCCAGTAGGTCGAGCTTGGTGATTTTTCATTAACAGTTGATTCTGCTTTTCAGCAAGAAGTGAAACAGAGATCAAATCCAAAAACTTAGTGAACTTATGAGCTCTATATTGTTGATGTAGGACCAAGGTATAAAATATCGATGATATCGGAAATATCGGTAGTCCAAAAACACGGAAATTTCGATGGAAATATCGGGATATTATCGATATCGATAAAAATTGAATAAAAACCACGAAAATTGTAAGAAAAACTTGGTAATTTTTATTGAAACTTTGCAGGATGTTTATTTAGTCAATTATCTATTAGTTTATCATAAAAAATTGGAAGGAAATGCATTGCATGATGGATTTAATTGATTTAAGTTGATTATATAGCAAGCTGACAAACATTGTAAGTGTAGAAAATATGTAGTAATTAATGAAAGAAGTTTAAACACACCATAATCATTTATATATAATGAATTAGTACAATATAAGAAAGACATGAAAAATATGTTATTTGTTTTACAAAAAAATAGTATATGTGACGTTAGAGTTTCAAGTATATAGCATGATCTGATCTTCAAAGAGACTTTCAAGGTCTCAAAGATGGATTTCCCAAATAAAACAATTTAATTTAAAAAAATAAAAAAATAAATATAAGATATTTTGAATGAAATTAGTGTTTAACATTTTCTTTAAACCACATGGTGACCCCTCCACCTCACCTCCCTCACATAACCCAAGGTCCCAAATTGAGACTCCCAATCCTATATCTGACATTTTCTTTTTCGTATCTCGTTCCTCCTCTCTCACTTCTTCTTCCTCTACTTTATTTTCTTCTTTTTCGTATCCCATAAGTCTCTCTCTCTCTATCTTATTTCCTATCAGCCCGTGAAACTAAAAATCCCAGAAATCTTTTTCTTTCTCTCCCTCTCTCCCTCTCTCTTTCTCTCTCTCTCTCTCTCTCTCTCTCTCTCTCTCTCTCTCTTTTCCAGAAACCTCTAGCAAAGCAACCATGGCTATCTCTCTGCAACTCTCTGTCCCGGAGCACAGACCACCACACCCTCACCCGTCGAGCACCGCAATGGCGCACACTCTGGTGAGCACCATCACCACCTGTGGATTGTTCCTCCTCCCTTTCTCACCTTCCGGCAACCACCATCAGGCAAAGGGATCCATCAAACGGTTTGATTCAAACCCGAGTGGGTTTTGGGATCCGGAGAAAATGGATTTTTCATTTTCGACGACGGAGGTGCAAATTTTGGGTCTGAGCCTGGATTGCAGAGAGAGATCTGGGCAGCTGCGACGACACAGCCTTGGCTGCCTTTCCGACAACGAAGCCATGACGATTGTTTTGATAATATCGAATATATCGCGATATTATCGATAATATCGTGATATTTTGACGACAATTAGGGGGATACGTGGGAAATATCGGTCTCTCTGAAAAACGATAATATCGGCAATATTTCGCTGATATTATCGATATTTTAGTCATTGTGCAGGACAATATGAGTAGCAAAAAAGGTCGAATAGGTCTTTTCCAAGAGATCATTTTTTATCAAAGTCTCGTTACAGAACTTGAGAAGTGATCAGATTCGACAAACTTCATAATTATATTCATTCACAGAATAAAAGTCTATAAAGCGCAAATGCTGCCAATCATGTCTTGCTTTAGGCAAGAATATGTCTTTTTGGTGATCAAAGCGATCAGCCAAAGTGACCTAGAGTGCTTGTGGATCCTCCTCAGCAAGGTACTTGGTTTGTAGTACGTCATGAATGTCTTCGATCATGGCGGTGGCTTTCTCAGCTTCGCCAACCGGGTTTTTCATCTCATCTTCAATGGATGTACGCAAATTCTTTGCAATGAGGTGGAGCTTCACATTTTGGACCCACTTGAGGTAGTTTCTTCCAAAGACCTCAAAAGCCTTAAAGTCGAGTTTGTTCAAATTCGACATGATCCTATCACAAAATAAATGGAGAAGAAATCAATCCATTCACATAAGAGTAGAACATTCAGGTTCTAATAGACATGTATTGGTTTAAATTAAAAAGCTTCGGGTTTTCATGGGTGATGTTTTTAAAGAAAACTTCAGGTTTTCAAACAAGGCATGTTTCTAGAAACTTTAGGTTTTGAAATATTTATGAACTTCAGGTTCATGTGTTCTTACAAACAAACACAAATATATATACAAACAAACGCAAATATATATACAGAAATATGTAACAAGAAAATATGCAAATATAACTTTAGGTATATAATTATAATTGAATTAATTATTTAGACTTTTGACCAAATTTAAAGTGTGGGAACAAAATATAAAACCCAACGTGCCTAAAAAATGGGCATTTAAAACTCGAGGCCCAAAATAATGGGCCAAAGCCTACAGGTGGGTTGAGTAGATTGATACCGTGCGGCCCATGCCTAAAAATTGGGCTGGGTATAAAGTGGGCTGAGCCAATAGAAAAGGTTGCATGCTTTTCTGGGTTGTAGGAGTAGGCTCAACCTTTTGGGCGAGGTCCAAGATGACCCTTGAAGGGCATGGATTCATTGCTTCGCAACGTTAGTGATCCCGGAGATGCGATCCAGTGCGTCAACGTGCAGGCCTGAGAGCCCTACAGGGGTTAGGTTTTGCTGCGGTGGGGATACAGGGACACTAAAGCCTAATTTGGCTGGTGTCGCGAGTGGGTTTAAGGTGAACAAAAACTAGGCTTGGTTCACAGGCCCAAATTTTTTTATTTTTTATTTATTTTTTTGTTAATAGGCCATGAAGGGTCCAAGCCCAAAGGGTCGTGGGTCAGATCAAACACAGATCCCAACCGTGCTGGGTGTGCGCATCAGAGAAGATGCATGGTGCCACCATTTCTGGTGGTCGTGTCTGGGTTGGTATGACTCGGGGCGAGTCACGGTGGTTTTTAACGACCACGGTGGTGAACGGAGATGGTTTAATCTCGACGTTTCAGCAACCAAACCCTAGAAAAATTCAAATCAGATTTTCAAATAATTCCGATGAGATTCAAGTGAATCTTGGTCCAATTTTCATCGGGGACGACTTTTGGTCGTCGAGGAGGGAGCCATGGTGGCTAGGCATGGTTGTAGGCCATGCGTCACGACAATTCAAGGGGGTGACACTGTCTAGGCGTAGGGTTTAGGGTTTAGGCCTGAAGCTGTGGCTCAAAGTTTAGGTTCTCGGCTCGGGGAAGGTAGCCTATCGACATGGATGGGTATTCAACGAAACCCTAAAATATTCTTTGTAATTTTTTCAATTCCAAATTAATTCAATGCATATTCATATAAATAATTTAATGCATGGACAATTATTTGATGCAATTCATGGCAATATCAAATTCACATAATTCAACAATTAGGGATATAATGCATATACAATTTATGCAGAATCTAAAATTCGAAAAATGTAAAGTTGGGTCATGCATTATGGTGAATGTTCATGCTATCAGGGCTGCAAAAATATCGAGATAAAAACCATTGTGTTGAAAGAACCTGATTGCATGATGATATTGATGAAATGGTTTGATACAAAAAACTTCCACATCAAATTCCTAAGCGCAGCGGTAGGAGTGTGCTGATAACGTGTTGTGACTTATATTTAACTGACAGAGAGAGGGGGTAGGCGGCACAGAGAAAATATAGAGAGAGATATGTTTGTAGGGTTATGTAGAGAATGTGTTATTCCCCTTGCGCAGTGCCTTTATTTATAGTAATAAGAGAGAGATGTGTTTGTAAAGTTATGTAGAGAATGTGTTATTCCTCTTGCGCAGTGCCTTTATTTATAGTAATAAGAGAGAGAAGAAATCATTCTCAGAAATACAAGTTTTAATAGGAAAAAAAAATAACTGAATCAAATCTAATGTAGGATTTATACAATCACACTTAAATAAGAAGTTTATAACATAATTATTATTTTTTGACTTAAATTTTTAAATTTTATCTCCAAGATGTCTTAAAATGAGATTATTCCATGCGATCAGGATCCTTTCCTGAGCAAAAGGTGAGGTTCCTCCTGACCAAGCCCATCAAGCCGTTGAAATTTCATTCAACGGTTATAAACAGGGACCCTTATAAAGTTATAATAATTATAACTGTTGGATAAAATTTCAACAGCCTGATGAACTTGGTTAGGATGATCCCCACCCTTTGCTCATGAGAGAATCCTGATCCATTCCCTGCAAGCCAAAAAAGGGCTCCTGTTTGGAAGTACACTGTCCTTTCTGATCCCAAATGTAGCACGAGTCAGTCACGAGCTAAGTATCAGTCTGTTGGCCAAACCGCCAAACCGAAACCAAGTGCCCCTATCTCGGAAAAAACAAAGCAAGTGCCCCCAAAGTGCAACAAAACCCCAAAAAAAAAAAAAAAAAAAATAACAGACATATATATGCTTCCATCAAGCTTCAGTGACGCAATCGAAGTACCGGATTCTTTCTTTCTTGTTCGTCTAATCTCTGAGAGAGAGACACAGAGAGAGAGAGAGAGAGAGAGAGAGAGAGAGTATTATGGCTCTGCCTCAGTCCGTGCGATGTTCATCTTCTACGGTAAACAGTAATTTTGTTCGATTTTAATCCTATTTAGTTATTTATTTCCGAGAAGAGAAGGGAATATAATTTATAATTCAGAAGAATTCTCTTTTAATTCTGAATGCAGGAAGGGGAAGAAGGAAGAGAGGAAGACCCACTTCATGTTAGTTTCCTTTCCTCCTTTTGCTTTTTATATTATCTGCATTTGGATATTACTAGCTGCTTTGAACCAAATGCAATTGCCTATGAGATTTTATGTTGGATGTAATACCACCCAAGTTATTAATCTAGTTTCCACCTGATGAACGCTATCTGCTATTCGAAACATTATACATTCAAGTCTGGATGCAATGCCGTATCGTCAAGCCCTGAAATTAGATCAAAAAGAGTAATTATTTACATGGACACTGAAAACGTACTTAGTATGAATTTGTATGTGGTTTCTTCTGTGCATTAAGTTGTTTAAAGCTGGAAGTGGATGGAGACCGAGGAAAACCATTTGTAGTTTCTATAACTTCAGTTTGTCTTTCCTACTTCTCTTATTTTAGAATCATTTGAAGAGAATGTGGTTTATTATTGTTGTTATTTTGTTCCTATTACTATAATTTTTCTTTCGGGTCATTGAACGATTTGAGGGATCTATCCCTGCCCTCTCTTTCAAATTTTAGGACCTAAAACAGAATGTAGTTCAGTATACTCAGCTCTCCTCAATGCTCGGGCATAGAACTGGATTCTGTCATATGTAGATAGCATCTTACCTTTTTCTTATGGAAGAGGAGCACTTCATTTTTAAAGTGACATATTTGATCTCTCATGATGTTCGTACTTTATGGTGTTCCCAGAGTTCCATTGTGTTCTGATCATCTTTATGCATTCCTTATCGTTTAGATATTTTTCTGATTGGCTGATCTTGGATTGAAATTGATTGCGTACTGCATTGGTATTTTATGGTCTTAAAGCTTATTATAGCAGCAAACAGCTCCAATAATTCATTGTTGTTGATGTGAATGAAGTTATTGGACAAGCTAACGGATGATAAATCTAATAATTGGCTTTACCATTTTGGAGGATCATTAATTTGTGTAATCCTTCATTAGCAAATATTTAACCAATATAAAAGGGCTACCTAGGAAGGGTTGGAACGACAAGATGACCATATATTTCGTGATCACTGATCAGTACTTGCTATTGTTTTATGATTGTCTATATTACAAACCCAGACACGGACACCAACAGATGGTTGGTCGTGACTATTTTCTCTTGTACCTTACTAATTACAATTCCATCATGGAATCAATTAGCATGCCCCAGCATTTAGTTTAAATGTGTGTGAAACAGATTGAGGGATGTTATAGTTCAGCATTCATATTGGCTGAACCGGTTACTTTTGAAGCAATCTACATTATAGTTTTGGCTTACAAATATCTGTCCAATTCTTAATATCTTATTGTATATACTTTCTACATGATTAACAGGGACAAATGATAAACAATCTTGCTAGTGCTGTGATGAAGAAGCTCACGAACTCAAACACCTCACAAACCCTCACACCTGAGCTAATAAGTCGTATAAAAAAAAGCCTTTCTCAAGCCTACCCTGTGTTTTTCACAGCCGATCACCCCACCTATGCTGTGGTACCACTCTTTTTCCATACTAATGCTTCTTGAGTAGATTTTTGCTGATTATTCCAAATTTTTTAACTTCGGAATTTTATATTTTTGTAGATGATACAGAAGGCAGTTGCTGAGTTGAATGAGGAAGGGGGTTCGACTGAAAAAGCAGTATCAAAATTTATCAGAGAGCATTTTGACTGTTTGCCATTGGCTCATGAAAGATTCTTGAGTCATCATTTGAAGAAACTTAGTGAGAGCGGAGAAATTGTTAGTGCTTCAAAAAACTGTTATATGCTTCCGGCTCATAAAATTGATTCTTATTCTCGAAGGGAGCCTGTGGAGAAACTGAAGAGAAGTGAGCTGGGTAGGAGAATAATAAGAAGAAGAAATGATTTGATTTTGAGCCTGAAAATCTGGCAGTAGAACATGTTGAACTGACTGGACAACAGAGAGAACATGCACGGCAAAGTCAGGAACCACTTCAGAAAGAAGAGTTTAGTAAAGCGATTGATGATGAAGACGTTTTCCCAGAGAAACAAAATGAACTACAAGACGAATTGAATGGAAAAAATAGACAAGCGGAAATGCAAGAAGCTGCCATGGTAGTACAGAAATATAAAGTGACTGAAGAACAGGTTGAAGAGACTAAACAACAGAGAGAACATGGGCAACGGAGTCAAGAAACGAGTCTAGAAGAACAGCATAGTAAGGTGATTGACGATCATGGATCTCCAGAAGAACAGCAAGATGAAGTGAATGGACAAAAAAGTAAAAACGAAATTCAAGAAGTTGCCATGATTGTTGAAAAGCATACCAATTCAATACAGAAAGCAACTGAGGAACAAGTAGAAATGACAGAAAAACAAAGGGAGCATGATATGCAAATTGGAGAACCCGATCGAGGAGAATATACTAAGTTGATTGACGACCAAAATGGATGCCTAGAGCTACAAACTGAACAGAATGAACTGAATGGACAACAAAGTCAAACTCAAATGCAAGAAGTTGCAATGACTTTTGAAAGGCAGAATAATGCAAACCAGAAATGTAAAGTGGCTGAAGAATGGGTCGAGCTGACATGTGTTGAAGTGACTGAACAGAGATCACACGGGCAACAAAGTGAAGACACAGGTCTACTAGAACAGCATGGTGAGGTGATTGACGATCAAAGTGTATCTCCTTATGAACAGTGTGTTAAAGGGAATGGACAACAAAGTGAAAATCAAATGGAAGAAGTTCCAGTGATTGTTGAACAACAGAACACTGCAAAAGAGAAATATAAAGCAACTGAAGAACCAGTTGAAGTCACTGATAAACAGGGAGAACACAAGCAACAAAGTCCACAAGAACAGCATAATATGGTGATCGAAAGTCAAAATGGATCTTCGGATGACCTGCAAGATGAAGTGAATGGACAACAAACTCAAACCCATGTGCAAGAAATTGCAGTGATTGTTGAAAAGCAATGTATTGCGGAGCATGATGACAAAGTGAATGAAGATGAAGAATATCAATTGACTGAACAACATGGAGAACGTGGGCAGCAAAGTGAAGAAGAACAGCATAATAACGTGATTGACTATCAAAATGGATCTCCAGAGAAACAAAATGAGCAGCCAGATGATGCAGATGGACAGCAAAGTCGAATACAAATGCAAGAAATCGCAGTGACTTTTGAAAAGAAGATTGATGCAGAACAGAACTATAAAGAGACTGAAGAAATAATTCGAGCACAAGAGGATGGACAAATTGAACAACAGTGCCAAAGTAAAGAACAGCAATGTGAGATGACCACGGGACGGTTACAGATTGAAGGTATTGAAAGAGAAATTCGGTTACTAGAAGAACAAGTTGAAATAATGGAAAAGCTGACTGCACCAGAACAGCAAATTGAAATTATTTCAGAACAAAATAAGCCACAAGAGCCAATTGACTTAATATCCCAGACCATTGATTCTTGGTTAGCCATTTTCGCTATGTATTCAATATTAGTTTTGTTATTGACTATTTTACAAGTGTCAATCTCATTTCATAAACAGCAATATGCAGGAGTTATCATCCAATAAGCAAGAGAAAGATGCAGCTATTGTGATCAATTCAAGCCCTCTTACAAGTAAAAAATTGCCCCACCATGGTTCATCACATTTGTCTGAGGTAAATGTTGAAAGTTGAAACCGTGTTGTAACGGAAATGGAATGTTGAAATGTGTATATAAATAATGCAATAATTTTCTCTTGATACAACTTACTTGCGCCAGCAATGTTGTGCTTTTGTATTATTATTTATTTTTTAGCTACAGGAGAATTGTTAATGGCATGTAAGGTTGAGGAAACGTTGTTAGAAGATCTGTCTAGCATAAGGGAGTCGTCAAACCCATAGTACTAGGAAACCTATTACAGACATAGAGGAAAGATCACCGTTAATTACTTAGTTCTTGTAGAAAGAGGGAATATATAGTTCGTGGCTTTTCAGCACGACAGAAATAGCAACATGATGGCCAAGGAGTAACAGTGATAATTTTTCTTTTTAAGCCCTCCTTTTTTGAATGCCAAATATTAAAAATAAGCATACTTACAAATAAAATGGTACAAGCAATTTACGATCCAATTTAATGCATTCATGCAGGATGAGGAGCAGAAAGCAGAAAATGTGATTGAAGAAAATGCTGTTGAGATGGAATTGACAGAAATTGAGCAGTCATGTGAAAAGCAACAGGAAAAACAGGAGTGGTGTCAGCAAAGGCAACTGCTTCCTCGGCGTAAAAAACCATCTGAATCTGATTGTGGAGTGCCGAAGGCACCTAAGTTTCAGGTAGCCATGACATTTTCTCTTGGAACTGCATTCTTGGAGACTAGGACATATAAGTTAACAGTACACCACATTGTGATTATGGAATCTTTTATCAACTCATGTACAACATACATCCTAGTTGTTATGCATGCACCAAAAATAGTTGAATAGAATTTGAAAGATACCGACAAGTTATCCCTGGACTGGAACTTTTAATGTTAGTCTCATACATTCTTTCAGGATGGAGAGGAGCAGCAGGCAGAAAATGTCACGGAGCAATCCTATCGACCACAACATCAGACAGAGGAGCAACAGAAGTTTAGGGGGCTGGGCCTTCAGGATCAAAGACCATCAGATCAACAAGGGGAAAATGCATGTCAGGTAGCATCAACTAGAAACCTCACAATTTCTAGCTAGTTAAATTTGGCATGAATTGGAGAAAGACCATGTAATTGTACATGTAATTGGACATGGAAAATTCTGAATATGCATGGAAAGGCTTTATATGGGATCTTTGATGGATAATTACAAATACAAACATCTTTTTAAAAGTAAATAACACTCTTTACATGCATGTGTAATTGTGTATGCATGGGACAATCAATAAATATTTTGTGACAGCAATTTCTGGCATTACCCAGGAACTTGAGCATGAGCAGCAGCCTAGGGAATGTATACAGGAAATGGGTGTGGAACTTGACTATTTGTCAGTTAAGATGTCATTTGAACCGCAGAAAAAGACAGATGAGCCAGGACAGCAGCGGCAATTGCGTCCGCGGCGCCAGAGGCAGTCCACGTCTGAAGTGTCAATCACACCAAACCTTCAAGAAGCTGAAAAGACTGAAGAGCTGAGGGCATCAGCAGAAAAAACAGGCCAAACACAGCAGCAGAGGCAACTGCGACCTCGAAGCAAAATGCTGTCCAAATCTGGACAAGCTGCGACTGGATCTAGGGTAGTTTTTTTACCTTCACAATCTCTGGATGAGGAGTGTATATCACTTTCAAACAGTGGAAGATCTCGAATGCAAAAAACAGGAGGGAAAAAATTATGTCACCAGAAGAATCAACATGAAAATCATTCTACCCAGCATAAGCGGTGCACACCAGAGCCAACAATAGATACCCTTGGTTCAATCCTCCTTTCCCAGAATACAGAGCTTCCATACACTGAAGCATTTCAAGACCTAGGACCAACGGCTATTGATGCTTTATCTCAACCTAGGGATCAAAAAACAAAGAAGTTGAAGTCCAAGCCAACAACAACAAAAGTTCTTGATGAGTTAGTTCTCACTTCCCAGCAGCTCGTGGAAGAACCTCATACTCCACAGCTCAAGCCAAGATCAGTGGTAGAATTTTCCCCAACTATAGTACAGCTGCAACAGCTGCGCCATATGAAACTACGCTCACACAGTCAAGGTGTTTCACAATCTGATCCGGCTGTATCCATGACAGAATCATCACCCTCACAGCACCAATGTGAGCAACCACAAGAGGAGCATCATGATGAGTTGCAGCAGCCGAAGCATCAAAAGAAGAATCCTCCTAGACCAAAGGAAACTGTGGACTCAACCATGAGGGTTTTGTTCCCAACAGCTGACCAGCAGCCGCAAAAGCAAGAAAGAGCGAGGCCTCATAAAAAAAAAACTGGCCACAGCTGCAACCGGCGATGAATCATCTCTGCCTGATAAATGTAAGAAGCAACTGGAACAACCCAAAAAACCAAAACAAGCGAGGCGTTGTATAGAAAAACTGGCTACAGCTGAAACCAGCGATGAATCCCTGCCTGATAAATGTCACAAACAGATGGAACAACCAGAAAAGGGAAAACAAGTTAGGCGTACTAAAGAAAAACTGGCCAAATCTCCAACTGGCGATGAATCCCTGCCTGATAAATTTCAGAAGTAGCTGGATCACAACCAGAAAAAGCGAAAACAAGGGAGACCCAGTAAGTTGGGTACAAAAAGCACTGTATCAGGGATGAAATTGACCTTGAAGAACCGACCATGTCAACAAAAGCATCGAGGGAGGGGAAGGCCTCGAAAAGTTACTCAAGGACCTAGGGAAGCAACATAGCAAGTGAAAATTTTGGTTTGCTTTTGTCACTAGCATTATAGTTCACTGGTTTCTATGATTCGTATGTTTTTATGGATTATGCAAGTGTCAGTGCTTTGTTTTTTCTAAATACATTACCAAAATGAACTCGTGATCCGTCTGCTTGCACTTCGATGTTTTGTCGTCTGGTACTATGCATGCTAACATTGATTGCTGAATTTAAGTAATGATTGAAATATTGCACAAAGAGCAGCGGTGATGGTAAAACTATTATATAACAAACCAGTGTTTTAAAAGATGAGCGCAGCGGTGATGGTAAAACTATTATATAACAAACCAGTGTTTTAAAAGATGAGCCCCGAGGCGTGCCTAGGCGGCTTTGGAGGCGGAGTGGGAGTGATAAAGCCTCTGCCTAGTGGGAGTGGGCGAGTTTTTGAGCGTTCAAATATTAGAGCTGAAATTTTAAGGTTCAGATCAGTTGTCAGATAGAGAAAGCTGACATTTGAAGAAATGAAGCCGAATTTGAAGCTCAGATGACAATGGTGTTGTAGACTTGTATTTGGTGGTGGATTTTGATGGTGATGGTGGCAGAAATGTGTTACACTATTTCATTTAATTTTGGAAGATAGAATCAAATTCATCAGAATTTGCGAGTCTTGTTCCTGTTTGCCACCTACAAAAAACATAAATGCATGCATCAATTTGTTTGCCACTTGGATTGAAAATTTAGACAAGCTAACTCCATCTATTTTTCCGTTTATGCGGTATTTAATTTTTGCAATAGTGAAATGCCGTTAAAAAATTAGTCTTGATTTGACTCAGTAAGCAAAAAGGACATGAGTATACTACCGCGAGTCACTCATTACTAAAAGTGTTAATATAATAGAATCCAAACCAATGCAAATTGGGTAGGATTGGATCGAGTCGGTGTCTAAGCTCTCATTGGGTTGTATGCAATCTCATTTAAATTGAATATGTTTCGAGTCGAATCTTAAATTCTGACTAGTAATTATTAAAAAAAAACTAACAATTCGACAACAAAACCGCCCATGCCCAGTTGTACAAGAGAAGTCATTGATAAGATATTGAAAGTGTAACGACCTATTTCGGAATTTACGGAACGGAAGGGCATTTTTGTAATTTCCACCTTCGGTTGAAAGATATTTTGTTAATGTTGCTTTTGTGGGTCTTAAACCGTGTGCCATTGGGGCCCATTTCCTTTTTGGTTCCCCGGCCCTCTCCCCTTTCTTCCTTTTTGGACCCCTACCCTTTCTCCCTCCTTACAACTCTCAAGTCTCTCTCATCACTCTTTCTCTCAAGTCTCTCTGTGTACTCACCTTTCCTCTTCGAGCCACTAACCCCCAAACAACCACAACAACACCACCACCATCACCCCCACTCCTTGCCTCATCTCCCTCTCCTTCTGTGTGAAGCACAAAGACACCTATCAATGGCTAAGCACACCCACCACTCCGGCCAGTTCTTGATTTTCTCTGACTAGGTAAGCCCCGAACCATCCAAATGACTAGTTTTGGACATTTTAGTTGTGTTTTTTACCCTTGTACCTGGTTTGGAGGAAGATAGATGCAGAAAAATACTCGGGGAAACTTCCCAGGTCCAGGAGAAGGACCCGTGGCTTCCAGCCCATCTTCTGGCCAACTCCGGCCACCTCTCGACCTCTCATTGGTACGAATCTCTTCCTTGTTCCTTGGGCTTCATTTTGGTATTTTGCATGATAGGTTTTAGTTGGGTTTTGAGGTTGAATGGAGCTAGGAGAGCTCTGACCTTCTTCTTCCTCGAAACGACCAACTCGACCTGGAAACAGGTCAAACCCGATCCGCAAAACCTAAGTCGGCCCAACTCGTTGGGCCATGGAACCCGACCCAATTGTGCATCCCAACTCAATAACCAGAAACCCAAACTTAGTTGCCTAGGCCCAACCTTGCAGCCCAAAACCCTCGGCCTAACCCAGCTAAACCGGCCCATCCCAACCCTGGCCAGCAGGTGGGCGCGCATGAGCGCCATGTCTTGGCCTGCACGTGCAGCACACGCGCCTTCACTAGAGGTTCCACGGCGGCAGCTTCAGCGAATAGCGGCGCGTGGCCGTCCAGGCCACCGCCCCATGACGGTGCATAGGGGTACTCGAGGCCCCTTTAGGTTTTTCGACATCTTGAATCCGTTTCCAACATTTGTTTTCCCAAATTCAACCATTTTAGTATAGTTTTATTAATTGGTACCTTTATGTGCTTATGTGCAATTGTTTATGGTGTTTCTGTCATCTCTAGTTTGCATGGCTCTTTGACGGTGAAGTATATGTGAGTGGACCCCTTCTAAAATGCCTGATTTTACTATTAGAAATGCATACATGAAAAACATGATTTAATGGCTATGTTTTATGAAACGTTTATGAGTAAATTGGTTTCACGCTTTATGAATTATGATGCTTTATCGACTTTACGTTCTTTGTGGTATATATGATTGATGATTATATACATACTTATGAATGTGATTTTACGATATGACGTTTTAGTTACTAAGCTCTGTTTTGAGAGATATATATATATATATATATATATATATATATATATATATATATATATATATATATATATATATATATATGCTCTGATACCAAATGGGGGCGGAAACCTATCTACGGATGATGGTAGAAATTATGAGGACAACAATCAAGACTACAATCATTATGATCATTGGGAGTGCAGATATCATACCAGATGTTATAAACAGATAGGAAGAAGATAACAAATGATTGGTCGGTATTTACCTTAAATTTGAGATACTCAATGAATTGATTGGAAGTAAGACATTTATGCCATTCAAAATCAGTAGTTATGAAAATATTCTTCATAATGAAAATAACGAATTAAAATTAATGATTTAGATATGGATTTGAAAATAATTTTATTTCAAATTGGAAACCAACTTACAATTTCGTCTACTAACGATTGATAAGAAAACAGAGGTGCTCGCAGGCATCCTTGATTGAAATATAAAATACAAGTGCTTGATAATTTTCTGGTTGTGGAATGGAGCTGAATAATGACTTCTATTCTTAAGAGAATTCGCAGAAATCTCAGCTATTTTTTCTCGGTCCCCTTCTACGGAAAAATGAATTCTTCTTTTGTAGAGGGTAAGATGATTGAGGTCGGAAATCCCGCTGCCTTCTGTCGAATGCATGTGCCAAAGGCTGTAAAGGCTGACGAATGATGATGTTTTTACTGTGGATTCATGCTGCTGCTGGCTGAAATGATGGATGAATAGTAAAAAAGTGATTTTACTATTCATGAATAGTGTTGTGTCTGAATGATTGCTGTTACTACTGATGCTGCTTTATGTGATAAATCATATGGCTTTTACTGAGCAATTTACATGGGTAAAACCCTGAAATGATTACAAATTATTACATTTTCAAAATTCAAATTTCAAATGGGTCTTGGGAATTTGGGTAATCTGCCCACTTGACGGGTTAAAACGAAGCGTCTGATGAATCTGAATTTGTGTCTTCTTCTTCATTGTGCAGCAAGGCTGCTTCTACCATAAGCTTATCTACTAGTTCTTTAAGCTGTGAGGATTTCTCTTTTTTCTTCAAACTTGTTGTTGAGAACCTGGATAATTTAGTTTTTCCTTTGAGGGTGGATGAAGGACTAATGTCAGATAATGATTGAGTATTTTCTGGGATTTCTGGCAATGCCTTTGTTGTTGTTGTTGAAGATACCATTGGAACAGGTACAATGGGAAATTCTGATGAGACTAGAGTGATAATTTTTTGATAATTGAATTTGTCCCACCATTTGACCTATCGGCAATAGTAAACTTGACATGTTTCAACTTCATAGTTCCATTTCATGATCCAAGGGATCTTGTATTTTTCCATGAGCAACGGGAGAAGAGTGATCCTGTCATCAAATCGGCTTCGATCAAATCTTTGTTGGAAACCAGATGATAAAACTTGCATGAGATCTTCGGGTAGTAAGCTGGTTGTTGGGCCGTGTGCTGACCACCAATTAGGAAACCATGCTAGGAAGTTTAACCTGAAACTTATGTCAAATGTAATGAACCAAGAGTGACTAAAGTCAGATGTTTGGTGTAAGAATATGTTGGTCCATGCTTGAATGTAGTCAAAATAATTGTAATGATTGTTAGGAATGAGAACATTTTGGTTTGAAGTTGTTTGGTGTGATAGAGGGGGAATCCCCATTCTTGTTCGGTAAGAAATCTTCTAATATGGAGAGAATGGTAGAGTATTTTATTTTGATGGGTGGTACTGTAAATAGGTTTAATAGCAATTCTTTCTGTCTCACTTAGAATTGCTTGGTAGTATTTAAGGGCTTTGAAATATTCAGTTGGTACATTATGGAAATTTGGAGGTATGATTGTTTTGGCTATTTTCTCTAGGCTTTGTTTTTTGTCAATATGGTTAGGGATGCTGAAAATGTATTCCTTTGGGTTTTTCTTGACATAGGGGAATATTTTAGCAAAACTAGGTGTTCTGGGTGTTGAAGGTGATGACATTGATAAGTATGGGTCATATGGACTAGCTAAAGCCTTTTGGTAATTTGGTCGGAAATGTCCTACAGTTGATCCTAAGGAAGTAAATCTGTTGGTAATGGCTAGGGCCGATGAGGAATTGGGAATATATTCCTGTTTTACTGGTGGTAGAGGTGGAAGAGTGGTTGGAAGCCTTCTCTGGCTACTGCTGTTTCCTGACATTCCTCCCTTGCAGAAATTCTCTTGTTAAAAAATCTAGGATGCCATTATGGTTGCCTTTGATGTACACAATGTCAAAATAAAAAATACTTAATATGGCTTGCCATCATGTAAACATCTATTTGGATGCAATATTTTGAACATCTTTTTGTAAAACATGTTTTGCAGATTTGCAATTGACACAGACTAAAATTTTTTTATTTAATAAATCATCTTGAAATTTGCTAATGCATAATACAATAGATAGTATCTCTTTCTTAATAGTACTATAATTAGTTTGTGCAGGATTCCATACTCCTGAACGGAAACGAACAATTTGTTCAGGAGATTCGGAAGAAGTTTATTGCTTGAGGATACCTCCATAATCGATATTACATGCATCAATTTCAACTATTTTAAATGAGTTGGGAGTTGGAATGCCAAGATAGGGCAATGTCTTAACATGA